GGCGCGGTGCTCCGGCCCCTGGCTGCGGCTCTCCCGCTGGCTCTGCCCTCCGCCGGTGTGCCCTGTGCCGGCTGCGGTGAGCCGCTGGGGATTGTCCCCTGCTCCCTGGCTGGGGTTTCCAGCTGCGCAGCCCGGTGTGTGCAGGCACGCTCCGTGTGAGGCTGTTGGAGGACACGCAGTCGCCCTTCAGTCCGTGCACGCAGGCACATGATTTTAATGAGCTGCCCGTTGGGACGATCTGCGTTTGCCCCATAGCACGGGGGTCGCGGAGGTGGCCTGTGCTGCCACCACGGGTGACGGCCGGGAGGGCTTTTGCTGCAGCTGTGGGTTTTTTCCTGGGAAATATTCTGCTCTGTGGCTGCCGTGCAGCTTAAAAAGCAAAGTGAGGTGGTTGTGAAAGGGGTGGTGGGGTGGTTCCTGGTGGTGCCGTCGGCGTGCCGGGCTCTGCCCACAGACTGTGCACTCTGGGGTGCGCTTGCACATGGATTCGGTTCCACGTCTCGGCGGCCTCTTGCTGAAACAGAGCCTTTATGAAATGCCTGTGCCCGTGGGTGTGGTGTGGCAGAGCCGTACCCGCGGCTGGCACCGACTCCGCGGCTCACCTGGAAGCGAAAGTGAAACTTTTTCCTGGTGTTCAACCTCAGCAGTTAATTCCCTTTTGATGCAAACAAGGCTTAGTCTGGGAATAAGGAAATGTTTCGGAGTCTGGCCGATACCTTCAGGTGCCTTCTGCCCCAGCCGACTTTGCTCACCGACTCGCCTTTCCCTGCCTTTCCCTGCCTTTCCCTTTCAGCCTTACCCTGCCTGCTCTGCACGCCCCCCTGGTTCGCAGTGCTCGGTCCCCCGGGGGAGGTACCCCGACCAGAGTGAGTCTGGGGGAGACCCTGGCTCGGATGGGTAGAGCTGCCCAGTTCAATGGGTAGACAGATAACACGGTGCTGTGCGCTCAAAATGTCCTTGTTTGCCTCGCCAGGGTGAAAGCCCTCGGGTGTGTCAGAGGAAGAGCCGTGTCTTGGGTGGCTTCATAGCCTGGTGCTGTCTGGGGTGACGGGTCCTTGAGCCCCAGTGCCACAGGCGCCTGCCAGCGCTGGGGAGCCTGGGGAGGAGAAACCTGAAGCCCTTCTTGGATTATTTTCATCCTTTTGCCCTTCTGGTCCTTGAAGAAAGCAGTAACAGCCCAAACCTTCCCATTGCCTGTGCACAGGGAGAGGAGGGATTGACATACAGAGGTTTAGTTCTGGCCTTTCCGGGAATGGCCCTTATTTTTGCAGGTGCAAACATCAATGGTTAGAGACGGTCTCCTGGCTAGGAGACAGCTGTACACTTGCAGACTTGGGTTTGGAGGAAAAGGAACGTTACACTTTCTGGAGGGTGCAAAATAAAAGCAAACCCCCCGTTGGGTTGCTGTGGCCGCTTGCATTCGGTTCTGCTCTGGTTGTGCCATCAGAAGTGGTGTTTGGCTGCCGCCATCGAGCGCTCGTTGCTGACCGCCTACGAACAGCGATGGGGTGCGAGGGCTGCCAAGGTGAGTCACGCCACGCTCGCTGCACAGCCCGTTTCACATCTTCCACCTGCTGAGGAAATTGCTGCCTCGCGGCGAGGAGGATTTCCCGGGGCTTGGCGGCAGCACTGCGTCCGTGCGGGCAGAAACCCTGATCCCTTCCCGGGTGGTGGGAGCTGGCTTTGCCCAAGGAGCTTGCCCCACGCTCGGAGGGATGGGGGGGGTCTCTGCACGAGCCGAGTTTTTTGAGCCCAGCAGTGGTGGGGAACGGCCAGGCCCCCTGCGCGGCCGCCATGGGCTCTCCGCCTTGGCCCGGCGAGCAAACCGCAGGGCCAATCTGGGGGGAAAGCACGTGGTTTTGGGGTTTGGTTGCTAAGATGAGTTGCTTCTGATTTTTCCTGCTTTGTTCACCCAGCAAAGGTGTAACATGGCTCCCCCATGTCAGGGTGTATTTCTGCCCCCCCCTTGCTTTCGGAGGGTGGTAAGAAGCGTTCGGTGTGGGGAATACTTTGTGCTATGGGAGAAGTACGTGGTTACATCTCAGCCAGACAGTCCTGCCCCTGCGCCAGCAGGGCCGAAGGCAAAGAGGACTTCTTCCTCCTTTGCATGTCCTGTGTGGCTTGTGCAGTCGCATATTTACTAGCATGTCTGGTATTTTATTCAAACGAGGAGTAATACAAATGGTAATACTCTGCTTTATTTTCAGCACAACTTGAAAGCTCCTCCTCTTCCTCTCTGGTGGAAATTAGCAACAGGAATGTGTTCCTGCTTGGGAGATACTCTTTGTTTCTGATGGTGGGTCTCCACCGTGAGTCGTGGAGGGATCGTTGTGCAGCCAGTGTCGGCTCCGGAGGACTGCACGCTTAAGCCTGTGTGGCTCAGCCTGATTGTAAGAAGGAAAACTCAGGATGCGACAGCCTTTCACCCTGCTGGGGTGTTGCAGTGGTTCACCTGCGTGCACTGCCCATGGTCATGATCTGTGCAGGAGGTTTGTGATGACATCCCCAGGCATCGTTCGCCCATCTCCCCAGGGGTCCCCTGGGGCTGCCTGCGGGTCCCCCTGCACACAGCTGTGACCCCTCGGTGCTGGCATTTTGGGGGACTGACTGTGAGATCCAACCTCCCAAGCAGCGTGGGCTCCTTGAGTCCCGTGCTAGCTACCAAGCTGATGCCGTGAGCCATGGTGCTGGGCTGCAGCCAGATCCGGCCTCTCGGCAGCGCCGATGAGGGAAGCTGATGAGCAGAAGGGCTTGGGCGTGCAGGAAAGTGTGCGTTCATGATTAAGTCTTTTAAATTATGCTGACAGAAGGCTCATTAACAGGGCTTGGAG